GATTGTGTTGTCATACTTACATGGATTGCAATGACGTGAGATCACCCATGGGTATGGACATGTTGAGTTTATACAGTGATTTGATGGCTTTGAGGTGACTCTTGGCACGTTCGAGGACGAACGTATGTTTAAGTGAGAGAGAATGTAACGACCTGACCTGTCGTTTTGAGCTTTAGCATTCCATTCGATGGTTTAAGGCCTTGAGTATCTTCGTATTATGCATTATGACTTGCGTCTATGAACGGTTTTGGTTTTTGAGTGGTTCGGAATTTTTGATGTGGATGAATGATTCTCAATTTAGAAGCTTAAGTTGAAAAGATTGACCAAGTTTGACTTTTATATATTTGACCTCGGATCAGAGTTTTTACATTTCCGTTAGGTCCGGATGGTAATTTTAGACTGGGCATATGCCCGGATTTTCATTTGGGTGCTTCTAGAAGATTTTGGCTCTAATTGGCTAAAGTTAAAAATTTGAAAGTTTAGAAATATCCTAAGTTTGACCGTACATTAACTTTCTGGCTATCGGGTTCGGATTTTGATTTTGGGACTTGAAATATGTCTATTTTGTTATTTGGAACTTGTTTGCAAAGTTGGTGTCATTCCGAGTTGGTTTGATAGGAATCAGTCGCATCATTGTATTTCTAGCGATTCTTGAGTTTATTATAATTTCTATGTGTTTTGGTGTCCAATTTGTGATTCTGGATGGTATTTTGGTATTTTGATCACGCGAGCGAATTTGTCTGATGTTTTTAGACTTGTATGGATGATTGGTATGTAGCCCCGGGTGCTCAGGTAGATTTTGGACGTGTTTCAGAGTGTGTTGAGTGAGTTTCAGTTTTGATGGTTTTGGGCTGATGTTGCACGTCTCGCAAATGCAAGACCATGTTCGCATTTGCGAGGGGGACACCGCAATTGCGAGTTGGGCAGGAGCTGGGATTTTTGCATTTGCGAACATTGTGAACGCATTTGTGATGGGGGGGCTGGGGGCTTCAAGATTCGCATTTGTGAACTCCTTATCGCATTTGTGATGGGTACTTGGGCTAAGGGCTGACCGCATTTACGATCAAACGGTCGCTTTTGCAGGGGAAGGGGGGTAAGGGTCGCATTTGCGAATAGAATGTCGTTTTTGCGCATATCTGCAGAGTTGCGAAGGGGCCGCTTTTGATGCCTTTTCCGCATTTGCGATGGTCATATTTGCGATGGTCGCATTTTTAATAGTCGCATTTGTGAACCCCAGGTCGCAAATGCGACACCTGCAGCTGGTATTAAGTAAGGAATTTCGGGACTTAGTCTCATTTGATCACTTTTTGAGCCCTAGACTAGTTGGGAGACGATTTTTAGGAGAGATTTTCATACCAAATCATTGGGTAAGTGATTTTGATCCAATTTCAATTATATTACAAGATTGCTTATGAGATTTAACATCTAATCCATAGAATTTGAAGAGACTTTTTGGGAAATTTTGACTATGTTTTGAAAAATAAAATTTTGAGATTTGAGAGTTGAACTGGACTCGGATTTGAGAACAAAACACATATATGGATTCGTGGGGATATGGGTAGTCGAGATCTATCTTTTGATTCGGATTTTGACCGGTCGGGCCTGGGGTTGACTTTTATTAACTTTTGGGGAATTGTGTAAAGATCTTAACTTTAATTATCGAAATTGGTTTCTCTTGTATTGTTTGATGATATTAAGTTATTTTTTGTTAGATTTGAGTCGTACGGAGGCGAATTTCTAAAGAAAAAGATATTTTGAGCATTGATTTGGTCTAATTGAGGTAAGTATCCTGCCTAACTTAGTGTGGGAGAACTTTGCTGTAGGATTTGGGCTAATTGCACTATTTGAATTATGTGAAAGACGTGTACATGAGGTGACAAGCGTGTACACGGACTTATATGTAGTATTTGACCGGTTTAGGCTATTAGGCCTCTAATATGCCTTTAATTGAAGTTGTTGTTATATTGGAACACCTTTCATTGTTGATTTATTTTTGTTGTTGAAATTCTTGTACACATAGTTGTTGAACCATGGGCTATGTATTATTTTGGTATTTTTGTTTGAGAAATATTGTCATATTGGTATTGTTGTTTGAGAAATGTTGTGGCATATGGGCACGTGGTAAGCGGTTGATTGTATGTTGTGACTGAGATGTGCATGCGGCGGCATAAGGGTGGTGTGTATATTGATGCGCATGCGGCGAGATAAAGGGGTACTTATGTGCGTGTTGCTAGTAAGGGGAATTACTTCATTTTGAAGCACATGCACCGAGATAAGGGGGCTAAAGTGCGTGAAGCTATTTTGAAAAAAATATTTTAAATATGAAGCTCATGCGGTGACATAAGGATGATATGTGATTATGATATGTGGCCCATAGAAGTGACTCTTGTCTTATTTTTGTATTGAAACAATTTATGACTTCTTGTGTGTGTCATGCATTTTTACATGATTTGCTGTGTTGTTTAAATGTGCTAATATGTGTCCCCGTTATTACTTGATGAATTGGATGTCAAGATAGATTTACTTACGTGGTGTTATTATCTCATATTCTGTTGAGTTGTTGGTAACACAGCAGATTTAAATATATAAATTGCTATCATGCTTACCTTATTTTGATTTTTAAAATAAACTCGTTCTCTTATTTAATTCTTTATTTTATTTAATAGTTATCATACCTTACTTTATTTGATTCTTAAAATATACTCATTCTTTATTGATGTTTTATTCTATTTAATTTGGTATCATGCTTTACTTTATTTGATTCTTAAAATAAACTCATTATCTCATTTGTCACTTTACTTTATTTAAAATTGATATCATGCTTAACATTATTTAAATAAACTTTTTGAATATTTGATTTGTACTTGACACACATACGATATACTGGGTGGCACGAGATCTTTATCGTGCAAAAGTGATTGATAATGTGGGCACGAGGTGCCATATGTATAAGAGTTGTGATTTGTGACTTATAATTTGTGGTTATGAGGTGTGGTAACTCGGGGTAATTCATGTTGTAAATTCGGTGTTGGAACGACTTGATACTTGAACTGTTATTGTTTTTCTTAATTTATTTCACTTGTATTTTAATTGTGTTTTGATTATTTTGTTGTTTATCACATGTTTACTCTTGTTGCCATTTGTTGCCTTTACCTTCTGTTGTTAGCTTTATAGTAATATTCTGCACAGGTTTTCATGTCTGGTGAGTGTCTTGACTTGTACCTCGTCACTACTCCATCGAGGTTAGTCTTGATATTTACTGGGTACTGTTGTGGTGTACTCATACTACCCTTCTGCATATTTTTGTGCAGATCCAGGTACTTCAGATCGTATTGGTTATAGAGTAGTGTCTATACGGTTGGAGACCTCAAGGTATACTTGTTGTTCCGTTCGCAGGCCTCGTAGTCACCCTCTTACTTGATTTATGCTACTGTTTAATTGTAATCCAAAACAGCATTGTATTTTGAAATATCTTGTGTACTCTCCGTAGAGCTTATGACTATACTAACGAAGTTTTGGGATTGTAAAAGTTGTATTATGATATTAGCTATGTTTTGGGTCATTTTTCTCAATTTTATTTAATATTAAGTTGTTATACCCTTATCTAATATTGTTGTGCAATAGGCTTACCTAGTCGTAGAGATTAGGTGTCATCACGATCTTTAAGCTGGGATTTGGGGTCGTGACAAAGTAATAAATAATGCAATAACTATAAGCAAAGAACAAAGAGAATTTTTTGGGTGAAATGTAGAAGTATAAGACTTATTCGAATTTGAGGTGAAACATAAAGTGGTAGTAAGAATTTTATTAAAACAATATGATCTAATGTGCTCAAACAAGACATCACAACGTAATATGTTTAGTATTCTTTAACATTGACCATGGAATAAAATGCAAGTACTAAAATTACGGGGTTGGATTGTCACAGATATAAAAAAGAAAATATATTATCCACTACGAGATATGAGAAACAGTTTCATATCCTGCTTCTTAATTGATATCTACGAGATATCTGTAATTTTTATCTAGAAGGTTTAAATTTTAAGGTAATTTACATATAATCCTAATCATAATTTGATATTTGTATCCGTGCGGGTACTAATACTAGTTAACTCAAAACGGAAAAAGCAAAATGATAAAAACAGATATTCTGATGAATTTGCTAAGTTAATTTGGAAAGATGAAGCTATGCAATACTAACTCGGACAATAATGGTTTGGCTATAGTGTTTGTAGATAAGTGGAAGATGACAGTTGTAGAAATTCCACGAGGAGGAAAACAAAAACTTGTACAGAATTTCGATGTGTACAATTGAACAATGTGAGAATATTTGCATCCTTTAACTAAATTAAAACACGAGTAATGAGACAAAAGCAGGCTAAAGAAGGATTCATCCAAATAGCCGCCCATCTAATTTCTTAAACTAAAAATAGCCGACGTATATATATATATATATACATGTATATGTGTGTATAGTTTATGAACACCAGATAGAAAAAATAAACAGTGAATCTAACCAACTATTTGTGTAACAATGCCAAAGCTAAATAGATAAGATGTTAACAATCCCGCTATCAACACGATTGAAAAGTTGAATTGAGTTCTGTTACTGTCATCTGAGTCACCAGTATCCTTGTCATTTTACAGTCTTGTTCTGGTTAATGTTATTCTTGCTCGCCAAAAAATGTGTGCCCGTGTGTTTGCACTGACTGTATTTTAAGTATGAGATTGTCAATTTCCTAATATTTTGGGGTCCATTGGCAAATGATCTCCTACTGAGTCGACAATATCCCTTTCATTTTGGCTCCCCAAAAAAAATGAGGATGAGACTAGAGAGTTTCCAACTCTGAAGGTGTCGAGTGCTATTCCAGGGAACTGATCAACCCAAATCATACGATCTGGAAAGTTGAGACATGCGAAGAAAGGAAAATGCAGCCGTGATCAGACCATATTCCCAAAATTCAAGACACATAGGAGCAAAGGGAAGAAGAAATAAACCGTAAGATAAAAACACTACAAACAAGGGATGCAGATTACAGATAACAGGGCATCTGCCAGGACAATTTTCAATTATTTTGATAATAATTAGCCCCTGCCCGGAAATAACTAGGAAGCAAAGGATCATTGAGAGTTTCTGCGAATATGAGATAAACAGTAATCAAAACTTTCTAATGCATTTTAATTAATTTGACGAAAAAGTAAAAACCATGAATAAGTGTGGCATTTGAAATGTTGGTTGCTATTGGACAACGCCTACCAATTTTTCCCACAGTGGTACCAGCCAACGCCAAGAGAGCTTGAAAATAGAAAAAGATGACCAAACCTACTGCCTACACATTGCTCTCCTACTTAGCTGCAAGGCTTGAGAATGAAACAACTAGCCACCTTGATCATAACAAGGGTCGTCCTAGACCCAGATTCAAGAATGATTGAACCAGGGCCCAATAGAACCATTTACATGGCCATTGCTGTGGATCCCAACACCATTTGGAACAAGAGATGGGGGCATTCCAACAGCCATCGGAGGAGGAGCAGGAAACAACGCATGAGTAGGCGGAAGGTTATGGGGGATTACTATAGGACTACCAGCTGGACTTCCATTACGCTGTTGGATGGCATGGATCTGTCTGAGTCCTTCTTCATGAATACGTGATAATGTATCCAACTCATTCATTGATAAAGCTTCCAAGCCAGCTCCATACAGTGGGGCATGCCGAGACATTTCTTCCTGAAGTGATGATTCAAGCTGACGGATGTATTGCTGAAAATGAAGCAACAAAAGAATCAACTTTGATACCTAATGCCCATCAGAGTAAGTTTCACACAAATACAAAGCAACATGCACCCAAATTGAGCCAAATTTGTACAGTAACAAAGATCACTAATGATGTGGAAGAAAGACAGATGAAGGTGAAAAACACAAGGGGGGAAAGATTAAATGCAGAATATGAAAATAAATAAAAGAGAACAAAAAGAAAAGAGCAAAGCAATTACAAAGAGATTGGCAGCTTTGCCAACTTTTACACATCATTATGCCACCTTTAAGAGAAAGTGAAAGATAAGGCGCATTCGAAAACCAACAACAAAAACTCAGTACGTTAATTGTAGAGCTGTCAAACGGGCTGACCCAATTCTCGCGAACTATAGAATTCAACAGCCTAACCCAGTCCTGCCATACATCTCAAAAGGACATTCAAAGTGCTAGCACACCCAGCTCAAAGCAGGCTGTGGGCTAGCCCTTCAACTTTTCTTTTAAAAAAATATATATAAGTTTGTCAGTTGCCACCGGTAATGCTACTCAAGGTTTTTGTTTTCCTTTTTTCTTCTTCCATGGCTACAACCAAAACAAAAAGAGAATGAACAAAATAGTATAATTTTGGAAGAGGAAGTTGGTAAATGATGCTCAACGAACTTCAGAAATTCATATATGAATAGGACATGCGTTTCACCATATTCATTGGAACACATCTACCTACCACCCATTTGTAAGGAAAAAGTTCAGACACCTATTACCTAATTGAAAGAAAAAAGTTCAGATACCTACCACCTATTTGAAAAGAAAGCCAAATTGTATAAAACTTTTTAAGAATGTTGAGTACACATTTAATAGCACAAATGAGTAAAAATTTAGCTTACATATTAAATTTGAATAAATCAATACATTAACATATAAGTTGACCGAATTGGCGAATTCTTTTTTAAAATATTTTGCCTTAAGAGACAACCTAGTCTAGCCCTTGAGGCCAGCGAGCCGATTGGATCTGGGCTAAAAAGCTCAGTTTAAAATGGACTAAAAATATCGTAGCCCAACCCCACCCAACTAATGGGTTGGGTTGGGCCGACCTCACAAGCCAATCCCATTAAAAATGGCTCTACTCCGATGTATAACAAAATAAAAGCTTTCCTTATCTTGCATGAAAAGGCGAAAAGAAGATGAGGAACAGAAAACGGATAGAATTTAGCAATCCTACTGGTGATCTTTTGTGCATGCGGCTCTACAAGGAAAACCTTCTACCCCCTTTATAACATTGAAGAATGAAAAATATACTCTATAACACTCAAATAGATAAATGATCAAATTTCTATCCTTCATCCGGCAGGAGCTAAACATTCTATGACGGCTTCATCGCTTAATTTATCAATTTTCATTTTTTTAATTTTCAGCAACCTCAAAGTTCCTTTTTAATTCGACCAAATAATAAAATATCCTTGTTCTTACTTTTTCAAAACATAAAAGATATAAACCACCACCATAATTAAGGCAGAAGACAGGCATCAAAGAAATAGGAAAAGAAGTAGCAAGAACAAAAACCTCGCAAGCCTCCAGCTTGGATTCCATTCCATCAATAAAAGCTTCACAACGAGCAACCTGCTCCTCCTTTTCACGTTTCTCCCCTTCCGTTTGCCCAACTGTTTGAGTCAACCGGCGTACTTCATCCTCAAGTGACTTTCGTAATTCTTCTCTGGTCACTTTCTCTGTGGCATAACGTTTTAGTTCCTCGTCAAATCTTTTCCGTGCAGCTTCAGCATTCTTTAACCTTTCTGCAAGAGTATTTTTCTCCTTCATCACTCTCTGCAAGATTGATAGTTTACAGTCAGGGAAAGAGAAAAACATGTAATATGTTAATCCATTTAGGAACCCCAAAGAAAACAAAAAGAAATAAAACACACAACAAATTTAACAAAGAGGAATTTCCATCTGCAACAATTACAAGCAGGGACCGTCAAAAGTCTTTAAATATTTGCAATTCCAAAAGAAAAAGATCGAACCATTCAGCAGTTCCAGAAAAGTGACTCGGGGCACTCCCTAAAGCTTCTATAAGAAGAATAATTTATTTGGTTGCACAAAGCATACTCCTTGGTCTCAAATTATTTCGTTGCCTAGTTATGAAGTCCAAGAAAAAGAAAACATAAGGCAAGTATGGATATAACACCAAAAGAACCTTTGACAAATGTTGCACTCAAGGGTGTGGCCTATACCTTGGAAACCAGGGTTCAAAAACCAGCAAAGAAGAAAAAGAGTAAGTGACTTCTTTCCAATTTGCCTAAACCTAGGAGGGCAGAGTTACTTAGTACCTATGCTGGCAGGAGGTAGCAAGTACCCGGTGGTATAGTCGAGGAGCATGCAAACTGGCACAGACACCACCGTTATTTTTGAAGGGGGGAAAAAGAACCCTGGTAAAATTTTGTTTTTTTGTGTCCAGTGGGCCCTACAACAAGTTATATTACAGCAAATGGGATTAGAAAGACTAATTAGCATCTACATATTAAAAGGAGTTGATCCTTTTGGGAATGACATTAAAGGTCTGAACGAAGTAATATGATACACATAGTGGCACACAACGTTGATATTATCATTTGATTGAACATGAAAGATTACTGCCTTAATAAACGGTTGATTTGTATTATCTGATTATGATCATGTGGGATCAAATCAGATCAGATAAGAAGTTTCAGATTCTTTGGAATTATATTCAGATTAGAATTCTCTCTTAATTCTGGACAATCTAGAATCAAGGGATTATTTTCCCTTTTTATTGATTTGTTTTCTCCTATAAATGTATAGTCTTTGAATGAATAAAAGATACTATTCCGATATCAAAACTTTCATTAACTATCTGTATATAAAGCTACGAGATCAAAAGAGCACCCTAATCAAGATTGACAAACCTAATAAGAACACCACATGGTCTGATTCATAGTCTACCTAAGGAACTGGCAAGAGCTGAAACTGACTCTACTTAGGTAAGTTGTACCACAAGGCACTCAAAGAAACACGAAGCATTGGACCTCATTTTTAATTAAATTGACATTTGTAAATAAAAATCTGGTGATATGACACTAGAAATATCAATCTTCAAAGAAATTTTACCTTTAAGGAAATATAGATTCGTTTAATTAAATGACCGGAACTCACGGCTAAATTGGTAAATGATCAACAGGCAAAATAAGAGCTTTCAACAAAGAAAGAAAAAAGTAAAACCAGGAAGCAAAAAAATAAAAGAGAAGAAATGTCAAAGAACTAAGAGTCATAAAGGTCTGAAAGCTACTTAACAAACTTAAAGATTAAATGTAAACAACAATACATGCCAATTAATGATGGAATGCAGACCTTTAATTCATCACGTTTCCGTGATTTCAGTTGGGAAAGTTGTGCCTCGGCATCATGCAAACGATCTTGAAGAGCTCTTTTTTCTGCAGTGAGCCTAGCAATTTTATCATCCCGTTCAGATCGTAGCCATTCAAGTTGACTCTCAACTTCTTGTATCTGTTCTGCGAGTTCCTTTCTTTCCCGAGAAAACCGATCCATCTCAGCCCTCATTTCAGACTGATTTTTCAAGGTTTTGTCAAATCAAAATTCACCAGAAAAAGAATGAGATATTCTTTCAAGCAAACATATCCTAAAAAATAAATAATAATGACCAAGATACCTTGAGACGATTATTAGTAGCCTCCGATTCGTTAAGCTTTTGGGACATGATAGCTATTTCTTTAGCTATACTGGTATTTTCAGCTTTCCTTTCCTCGCGAATGCGCATAATTTCATCTTCACTAGCACACAATTGATGCCAAAGTGTGGCACGATCAACATTGGCTAGTTCAACAACCTCCCTCATCATGCTTAGGACTAGTCTAACAATTTCCTGCTCCTCACATATCAAGGTTACCAATATCTCCAAATCTAGATCTACTTCACGAGCACTTTCCGTTGAACTGGTAGCACGATCAACAAGCCTCTTGAGTATCCTCAATCGATAAGACTCATCTGCATACCACTTGAACAATATTGTGTAAAGCAACTTTACAAAACCTTTTAAATGTGGATCTCTAGAGAGTGCCAATGTCTCAGCAAGACCAAGAATTGAAGTAAAATCATCTTGTNAAGACCAAAAATTGAAGTAAAATCATCTTGTTGGGCTGTCAATTGCTCAATGGTTTCCCCTTCCACAACCACGTCAGTGTGCGGAAAATTTTCAACATATTGAGAGGTCATATGTAATCTCCGAGCAAAACGTCTTTCCAAGACCATGGCTACAGACTGAGCCACAATGGCCCCTCGAGCTACAGCTCTCTCAAATGTTTGGGAAGCTTCAACGGCAAGACATGGAATTGATAACATGTCAATAAGTATATAAATATCAGAAAAATGATGAGTACAAAGGAAAGCTTGCTCATCTACTTCAGGCGGTCTTTCTGAAGTATGACAACTTTCACCAAATAAGAAAATCCCACATGGTACAGCCGAGCAATTGTCACCAGAATCATTGTCGCAATCAATATCTCTTAGAATAGCTTCTGCAACATCTGCACAGCTATTTACAGTTCGGGTCAAATAATCAAGAACACATGGGGAGACTTCAGTGCCTAGTTTTTTTAGCCGGACGCGTACGGCTCTAACCTGCAGCGAAAATCAAAATATTACACTGGTAGAAGGGTGCATACATATATATATATATATAACCAAATCTTATGCATACTGCTTCTGGAAGATGTAGACAATGAAGGGCAGCCTTGAATATGAAGTCAACAGTTGCTGCAAGAGGTTCATCAATGGAATCTGCTAAAAGATCAAATGACTGGAAAAGAACACGTTCCCACACATCACTGCTACATTCCAACTGGCCAAGGGCACCAAAGACCTGAGAGAAATTGCCACTTTGTAAGTGCTGAATGCTAAATGCTCTATGTAATAGAAATGATGCAAAGGTACAATCATTTTTCATGCATGATTGAAGAAACAGAAGAAACTTTCAGAATATCTCACTGGCATCCTTAATGCGGGTTCAGCATCTGGCTTCTGAAGTCGTCCTAGAAGCGCATAAGCAGCAAGTGGATGTTCTGAATGCTCAACCAATTTTGGAACCAACGCAACTAGGTCCGGCTGTAGATGCTTTGGAGCTTTATCCAATACAAGGGCTATCTTTTGGGCAGACTGCGGCCTCCTCCTTGGCTCAGGACAACCTTGTGGAACAGCTCCATCTAGTGCTCTTAGGGAGTTTACTATCAATCCCAGAAGCTCCTCAGACTGCTCTGGCCATTTGGTCTGAAATTGAAAACTCTGTGAATGGTCTATACCAAGACATATCAAACCAGGAAACTTCAACAGGAAGATAGCTGTTGTACCTTAGTACGAAGGGAAGGATTTTCAGAGGAGCCACCAGCAGATGTTTCTGGTGGATACATAGGCTGCCCAGAGAAGGCCTTTTCAGGTGCATTAATCCCATCAATATCAGAGCTTTGGACAGCAGATGAATTCATGCTCTCCTCCGTCACTGTATCCAGTCTATCATGGGCATAAAGTTGCAAAGGTTCTTTTGCACCATTACCTCTATCAGACTCCAATTGACTAGCTGCTCCATTGCCATCTGGAGAAGCTTTAGGCTTCACTTCAGATGACTCACTACTAGAACTTCCTTCTGAAGGTTGGCAACATTCGACCATAATATCCAACAGCAAATCAATGATTGCTTGCTGCAACACTTTTACCCCCATCAGCAAGTTCATCAAACTGGGAGAGGAGTTGTCATTTTTATTTCCCTTCTTTTCATCACTACAGCCAGATATATTAGTAGGAAGGAGCAAACGCTTTACTTTAGCAGGGTCATCAAGATACACACGAAGTCCAGCCAGGAACCCAGCTATTGCACCAGCATCCATAAGGAGCTTTTCCCTTAGAGTGACCTGTGGCTGCGATGGATTATCTCCATATGTGAGGTGAAACCCTGCTCCAGAAAGAAGATTTCTGAAGATATCCTCTTCATCACTGATACCTTCACTATCTTCCGAGTCAATGAGTTCATCAGGGTCAGTTGTCAGAGCATCCTGATCATCCTCAGAAGCCAACACCTAGAAAAAATTATTTTAAAAAAACACAAAACAGATGGAGAAATTAAGATCTTAGAAATAATCAAATAAGCATTCTACTAGCAACTAATATTCATGGGAGAAAAGATGTAGAAGCATGCAAACAAACACTGCTAGACCAAGCCACATGTAATGCCCCAAGTAATGAGCAGGGGTGGTTTGGTTATTTGAAAAAAAGAAGAAAACACATAGCTTCTGAAGAAGCTGAAAGCGGTGACCTAATAGCAGAAACTTTTCTCAAAACCAGGAGCCCACATGGAGCTGGGACGTGGAAAATCATGGTTCTCAAAACCACTGGTGCACTAATTTATCCAGGAGCCCACATGGAGTTGGGACATGGAAAAACATCAGATAACTATGGAATGATTCTTCTTAAATACCTCATTTAAAGTGGGCAATGACACCAACATCAAGTTTTGGAAGGACAGGTGGTTAGAGGGGTCTGTACTAATGAACGAATATCCAAGCCTGTACAGATAGCTCAAGATCAAGACTCCACCATTTCTCAGAATTGGCAAGACTATACCTGGAGCATTCAGTTTAGGAGGAATATTCAGGACTGGGAACTACCTCAACTAATGAACATGTGAGCTAAATTGGAAGGACATTCTGTCAGGCAAGGTGCTGCTGACAGCCTGAAGTGGAAGGATGGTTTCTATTCTGTGAAAGCAGGCTACTTATGTTTGAGCTCCTTCAATCAGATTATTGAAAGATGGCCTTGGAAGTATATCTGGAAAACAAAGCTCCCTACTAAGGTCATTTGTTTCAGCTGGATAGCCCTTAATGAAGCATGTCTAACCCAGGATAATATCAGCAGAAGAAGCATTCCAACCATTAGCAGATGCTTCATGTGCCTACAGCAGTTAGAAACCAACAGACACCTAATGCTACATTGTCCAGTTGTCTCAGATATTTGGTGCATGTTTCTCTCTATGTTTAGTCTTAGCTGGGTCATGCCATAGAGTATTAACGATGCCTATGAATGCTGGTCTCTATGGAAAGTTGATAAGTCCATCAGAAGAATCTAGCAAACAATTCCTGCATGTATTTTTTGGTGTGTTTGGACGGAAAGGAATTGCAGATATTTTGATGGGACATCAGTTCCCGCTCCCACTCCCACTCTTAAGGCTAGATGTCTTTTATGGCTTTATAGTTGGCATAACTTCGCTCCTGTTAATTGCCCTATTAATTTTTTGGACGTCATCAGCTCACTAGCTCTCTTTTGTATTAAAGCTGACAGTCTTATGATGTAATTCCTCTTTTGGACTTTATGCATCTTCTTGATGCCATCTATAAAATCTTCTTACTTCATCAAAAAAATTAGCAGAAGCTTTCTCTAAAGCAAGGAGTGAGGAGACGTTGGGACATAAAATGGGCGTAAAGAAACACTGGGGTAAGGTGGGATTGAGCCCTTTAATCCATGGATTACTTAAGTTAACACTCTAACCATCAATAATATTCTTGACTATCTCATATATTCACCATAAGAACCCTACTACTCAAATCCGAGATTTCTTCAATCTGTGGGCTCAAAGAGGTAATTTTTATGCTCTAGTTTAGTAGTTTATCATTATCTATAAATGGGTATCCTAGATGATGGATTAGATAGTTGAGAGTTAAGGGTTTTAACTAAGGGATTAAATATAAGGATGAATTTTGGTTAGGGATAGCAATGGGCCAAACCCTAAGTACGATTATAGATCAACTGGGTGTAATATCATAGTGGATCACTTGAAATTGTCGTGTCTTGCATAGATTCTTGAGTTAGTTGGATTAGAGCAAGTACTTTGGTACCTAGATATAATGTTATAGCATACACATTAGTAGAATATTGAGTTAGGATGTCCATGGCTTTTCTTTATTGGTAAGAATATAAAAAGATTACACCCATTACCCAAAAAGAATGGCGAGGTTCGAAGTCAAAGCATCTAACTTCAGAGTGAAGTCGGACACGATATCATAATTTTTGTCAATTACATTTTTTTATCAAGTAAGCAAACATAATTTTTGTCAATTACATAAAAAGTAAAATCATAATTTTATGGTTAGAAAGATTAAACAAATGTTTGGAGAAAACTACAGTCAAATAAAACTCATTGACTGGCAATTTTTTATGGAACAGAGGAAGTTTCATATGGGATAAGGCGCATTTGAAGCATGTCCATCTTTTTGTTGTATTGCACACTGTCATATTGCGTGTCCTGGGAATGCAGTAACTCGTGGTAGGGAGCGCTTCCCCTTTTAATGGGCCTACATAGCACAAATCCAGATTAGTCGGGCCAGTGGGTTTCGGATACCGTTCTACCCACACAATAAAAAACAGACAGACCAGGTTCAAGTCCAAGCTACAGTACTACGGAGACCAATTCTGAAATTCAACAAAAATAAGATTGAACATTGAACAGCAATGCATGACATTGACATTTGACATTTAATGTTCCTTTCTCCACTTAAAACTTAAGCATATAAGCACCATCTATTTTTTGTGATAGAAATATGTAAAGAAAATGCAAACAACGCAAAAAGAGAAAAAGAAAAAGAAAAATAACAAGAGTAGGGAGATAGGAAAGAGGGCAGAATACAAATCGAGACATTCTCAAAGAGAACCCAAGAGAGGTAGAGGTAGGCCGAAGAAGTACGGAGAAGAGGTGATCAAGCAGGACATGCACATCTTCAAATATACCAAGGACATGACACTTGATAGGAGAGTGTGGAGGTCGAGGATTAGGGTAGTAGGTAGTCGAGCGTATTTCTTTTTTAGACTTGTATTCTTTCTTTCCCTGTTATTCTCGTATTTCCTGTTCTTAGATTTCAATTACTACGTTAGATTTCAATTACTACCTATTCCCTCATGGCATACCTAAAGACCCCCC